GTGTGAGAATTGTTGTGTATCAACTAATATCTGTCTATTATGATGTACATGGATATGCTCTTTCTAAGAAATATTGTTTAATGGAACTAAGATCAAAAGGTGACAGGTAAGTCTACGGGAGGGCAGAGTTGTAGTAAAACCAATATCTGTAGTGGGTTTATTATTAATTCCGCGACTGTTATCGTCGCATAGCAAACTTCTTTGTAAACATAACAGGATACCATATTTGATGGTGAACATCTCTGTTATAATGTCCATAGAACCACTCCGATGATGGCTCTGTGAGCCGAAAGATTAGATCAATAATCAGAATAATAAAAAATATCCAAATGTAGGACAGTTTTTGTCTTTATTTTCTCCTGAAATTAAAGCCACTATACGAAGAGCTTAGGATAGCTCATGATCAAACACAATAGACATTCATCGTCTGTTATATTTAAAAATATGTTTGAATAATGATCTGATGCCCCAATACACTATATATATATATAGGAAAAACCCTTTATGAAGTCGTCAAAAAAAACAAATTGTAGTTCAGTGCGACACATTTATATAAGAAACAGCCCGTTGAAAATAAACAAATAAATAAATAAACAAATAAAATAAACAAAATTATCCAGACATTTAACAACATACGATGGTGCCAAAATCTATCTTTCTCTGTGAATGAACAGACGATGCGCGTACAAGAAAGACATAATTCGCTTTGAAATAGACACCCCAACCTTACCTCAGCTTGACCTCTTCCTGAAGGTGACTGATATGTGGATAAAAAATGGTCATCCCAGTCGTTTCCATAGTAACGAATGAACACGCTTATAACGATACGTAAATTTCAAAATTGATTATTCCTGAGCTTTCGCTTGAGGATGAAACAGGGCTTGTCACTTTAATTCAATTTAATTTTAATAATTATATTGATGGTTTCGGCTCTCGTTTTTGAAACATGAGAACTCTTATGTAGCGGAGGAATCATATTTTTAAAAAAGATAATTATAATACATATATATATATATATATATATATATATACTACGACTACTACTAAAATCAGCAATGTTGATGTGACGAACAAACAATTTGGCAGACGACCAGAAAAATACAAGAGAAGAAAAAAATAAAAACTTAAAAAGAAGCATCTATCTCCGCAGTAAATTAAAGTGCTCAAGGCTTAGAGTATCAGAGCAGAAAACGCTTCACAACACCAACACTCATCCAAGGAGAGTTCGAATCTTTATTCAAGTTTCACGTTCTTGCGATTTTCAGTCGATCAGAATGCAATCACCCACACAAAATTTATTCTAGTATAAAAATAAATCTGTGGGTAATATGGAGAGCTTGATTTTACTTTCGAATATCTTCATCTTTCTGAAAAGTATTCCAATTTATTCTTCATTGATAGATTCTTGTCCATGTCTTCTTTTAGTGAGTAGAATGCTTCCATAAATTTTTGACCCAACATGTGTACATATATATATATATATATATATATATATATATATGTGTGTGTGTGTGTGTGTGTGTCGCCTTTTGATATATGCGTTTGTTTTAGTATCACCACGTATGTCCAAGATATCCTTGTGTCAATGTATATATTTGTTCGTGGATATGAATATATATATATATATATATATATATATATATATATATATTTAGATACGTTTATTTCTGTTACTGGCTCTTTTTATGATATAAAGATTTGTGCGTTTCCTTATATGTGGATATGAATTAAGGAACGGAATGGATGCAATGCATAAAACCGAACGAGATTAGCTTAGAGAAGTACGATTTAAAGTATACTTTTTCTTTATATATTTCTTTTTCATTTCTTTTTATAATCACAGAAAGCGAAGTCATGGATGATCATGCACAAATATACTGTTTGGATAACTAGATAAGAAAGACTGTTTTTTTTTAAAATCTCTGATTAAATTCCATATACTTGCTTGACATTAGATTAAATTTGGAATCGCTGTTGCAGATACTGGGATTTTATCAAGGTCATTCATGCAAAAAAATGCAGATTAAAGAGGGAATGATAATGCCAATAACGTTTTTAATTGCTGCATGAAAATAGGCAGTGCAATGTATTGTTGAAAAACCAGAAGATCAAATTAAAAAAAAAAAACTAAAAAAAACAATTGATGCTTAATCGCTGCAAATGTATCGATTTTCAATCCATTTTCAAAATTTGTGCTGATCAAGTGATCTAGACATTAATGCTGAAAATTATGAGATCAGATATTGTGACGAGGAAACATTCTTTCTTTCTTTTTATGTGGTATGTCCTTTCAGGGCGTAGGCGATCATGGCTCTCCACTTCCCCCTATCCCTTGCAGCACTCAACAAGTTTCTTCCCTCTGCCACCTCCCCCAGGCCACGTTCTGTCATCCACTTGCTTAAGGCCACCATGTCATGCATTGTTTTCCCTTGTCTCACTTTCCTTTTATTTGACCGATGAATATCAAATTCTCCAGGCCCTCCTTCCTCATTATGTGTCCCAGGACCTCAGTAACCTCTCTCTTCCTGATGTTAAGTATAAGCCTCCTTCTTTTTTGCATCCTCTCTAAGAACTCATCATTGCTCACACGCTCGGTCCATGATATCCTTAGCATCTTTCTGTAGAACCAAATCTCTGTCGCCTCGAGTTTTGAAAGATTCAAAAAAGTATCTTGATGTATTTGACTCGATTTTTCTTTTTGCAATTAAATGTTTGCTGTAAATCTTTGTTCTGCAACATTGACTAGAGGTAAGGGTATATGTTTTTTTTTCCAAATCTTTGTTTGGATTTTCGCATTGCAAGAAAAGTGTTAATCAAGTAAAAGCAACGTTGGATGTCAAGGAAAAGAAACTGATAGTAGATTTCCATGATCGAGAATTTTGATTTCAAATAGATACTTGTTAGATGCAGCGATATTTAGAACAAGGTCAACAAGATGTTTGTTGTTTAATACGACTCTATGTCAGCTACACGCCTTGGATTGAACCTGGAAGTGCAGATTATATATACTATTCGATGTGATGAAATAACTTGTAAGTTTTATAACCCGTATAAACAAATAAATAAATTAAAAACTAGTAAAAATTATCGATGTAATACATATAGATTTTCCAAGCGTAGCTGAGGATCGAACTCACAACTCAGTGATAATTGTTCTAACGAGACAAGCTTGCTAACCATTACACCGCCTCGAGGCGTCCTTTAATTTCTAAGCATGGCTTAGATGTGGCAAAAGGCTTATGGTATGGGGCACACTATTCTGTCGTAATTCTTCTAGCTTGACAAGCTTGCTAATCATTACGCCACGCCGAGGTGCTCTTAAATGATTTTCTAAGCATAGCTTAGATGTAGCACAAGGCCGAAAGTATGGGGCACTCAGTGAGAATCGAATTCACTATTCAGTCGCAGTTGGTTTAGCGAATAAGCATGGTAACCATTACATCACGTCGAAGGGCCCAAAGCATATATGGGAGGTTGCTATATGTTTGCCGGTCAAGCCAAAAATGGAAATGATGAAATTAGCTATTGAGGTTGTCGGAGTTAACTCCTCCTTCAGTTCGTAACCCTTTCACCAGGGGTCTCTCTTTCCTGGCTATAAATAGCCAATGACCCTTCGCCTCTATCTCTTTTTTTTCCATTCAGGCCTGTGCACTGACACCTCGAGGTAAATTTCTCTTATTCCTAGAGGATTTCAACTATCAACCTCGAAATGTAGCCGCTAACAAGGAATAGCGTGGAAACACGCTACACAATATACACACACGCACGCACACACAGAATATTCACACGCACGCACGCACATACAGAATATTCACACACACTTCGTCCTTTTGTACTGTTTCCCTGTATTGTAACTTGTTAATAAATATATTTTATATACATATATTATCGGTCTTGTTTTGTTTGCTTTCTTTTCCTTCTTCTTTGGACTTAATCAAAGTCCAACCTTTTTTATGTAGTTGGGCTCGGCGGGCAGGAGTATCTGAACCTTGCGTTTTTTCTACGTCTGACTTCTATCAATAACAAGTGGCAACCGCCATTCCCACAACAAACCGTAACCGCCACGGGCCCCACTACAAGGTTTAAGGAAACTTTCGGCATTCATTGATTTGAAAGTAGCTTTACTGCTGGTTGAGATTTTTAAAATCATCCTCTTAACAATAGTCATCCAGGGACTATTTTCTTCACAAGTTCACTGACAGTTATTGCTCTTTCTAGAATTGATGGCCATTTTTTTCCTGACTTTTTGTTTAAGGTTATATGTGGAAAATCAACCTCATTATTATATCATTATTTTCTTTCCTAATTACATGTGCATCCCATTTGTTTTTGTTCTGTTTTTTTTTTTTTGCTGCTGATGGAAGTCTTCAAGCAATGTCGTTGTTTTTAAAAGGTTGTTCTCTATGGTTCTGTTGCGCAAGTTTATAGGATCTAATAAAGGACGTTCTTTAAGAATTATAAGGCTCATTCTCCTGAAGCCATTATTACTCATTGATCTGGCAATACAGCTGTATATAGGGGATAGTTCTGGACATCAGTCATAGCGTCCAAACGAGTATCTAGATATGACTTCCCTCATACACACATCTCTGACTCTCTCCTCTATATCTCTCTCAGCTCACTATCACTCTTCTCTCTTTCAAACACACTCCCCCCTCTCTCTCTCTCTCTCTCTCTCATTTTAGCGCCTTACTGTGTAGACAAGACTATACCTAGCGCAATATGTCCTAAGTTCAATTTCTTTAAATACTGATGTCATTAAATAAAATTATGTTTGTTCAGATTTGGGGAAGTTGGTAGGTCTGATAACCTTCTGAGCAGCTTCCTGGCCGTGGTAATTGTTTGTGATTCTGTAGCGCCAGTTTATAGGATCTAATGAAGGAAGGTTGTTTAAGGACTAGAGTACTCATTCTACAAATTATTAATCATTGTTCTGGGAATACGGCTGCATATAGCTAATAGTTGGACACCAAGAATGGCGTCCAAACAAGTGTCTAGATATGACTCCTCTCTCTAATTACACTCCCCTTTCTCACTCCTCCCTTCTTATTTTTCTGTCTTATTCCTCTCTCACACACACTTTCCTCTCCCTCTCTTTATTTTTAGCATCTTGGGGTGCCAGATAAGACTACTCGTAGTGCAATCTATACTGCATTCAGTTTCCTTAATTACTAACGTCATTAAATAAAATCTTATGTTTGGTCAGAGCTGGGGAAATTGGTCAGTTTAATAACATTCTGAAGACCTTCCTGAAATATTACACACACATATAATGATTAGCCATCCGTCAATGGAGTGTTGTACGCTGGATGATGTTTCGAGTAGAGTATCCGTCGTGTTTTGATAGTCGTATTTAAGAATGGCAGTCTCTCGTATACTTTCTTCGAACTAATTTTGAAGCTTGTCTTTCTGTTAAACAATGGGCTTTTCTTCTTTTTCTTTTCTGGTTCAACCTCTGGCTGTTGGCCAAATGCCACTTCGAACTTGAAGGGGACTTTATGCACTGTCTGCTTCCAGGGTTATCATTCAAAGGCTACATCAATCACTGTGTCTGAGTTTATACGTAGGATCCTCGATTATCTAATACAGGGATCTCTGTAGTGTAATTGGGGTTTGTCTAGAGTTCGATTTCACCGAGTCAGGTCACCGAACAAAAAGTTCGTTGCTATTCGACCGACATCCATTTATACGATGTGTCTAAGCCAACGTAAAACATCTTTGCTTTAAGAAGGTGTACATGCAGAGGACTTCAGTTATTTTGGAGCATGGATTTGTCTTGTCAAAAGATATTCGGGGGCGTCGGAAGCAGCATATATAGAAGGAATAAATGATTGATTCCTGTCAGAGACGCAATCTTTCTTTGATAGGACATTTCAATCTAGCACGATTGTTATTAATTTCATTGTTTAAGAAAATAAAAATCGGAGACAGCAACTAAAATACATGTATCTACTAAAATAACGTTTATAATATATATATATATATGGTTGGATAGATGTGAGTTTGTGATCCTGGGTTTCACGCTTTAGCGATCGTCAGTCAAACGAACGATATTGAGCGCTTTCTAATAAGTACCGCGCATATAATATATAAATAATTATACATATATATATATTTATTTATATTTATATACACTTTTCACACACACACACACACACACACACACACACACACACACACACACACACATTAATATATAATATATATATATATATATATATATATATATATATATTCGACTATCCCATCGTATTCGACGCATGAGGGTCAAACAGCTGAGTTCCTAGGAACCGACAGCCCAGACACCAGCACATATGATTTGATTTTAGAGGTGAAGGATTTGTGATGAACCAACCACACTTTTTGGTCTAGAAAGTCAACTGTGAATTTAAAACTTGCGGAGGGTGGTTTAGGGACCTTGTGGCACGTAGTGCACCAACCTGTATTCAGCACTTCAAAAGTGTTCTGCCCAAAACATTCACCACTAGAATCAAATCTTATATACTGGTGTCTGGGAGGTGGGTTCCTAGGAACTGAGCTGCTTGATCTCATACGTCGAATACGACGGGAGAGTCCATATAATATATATATATATATATATATATATATATATATATATATATATAAATATAAGTGTGTGTGTGTATTTGCTACCAGGCAAAAATGACGAATTCATGTATATATTTGAATTTCTGTGTGATGAACTTTGAAAAGATATGAAAACAAATGGTCTATAAAAAAAATGTAAAAAGCGCATATTTCATTTAATTTTAAAAGTGTGTTGTCGAAGTTATAAAAATGAATTAATAATGTTTTGATTAGAAAAAGAATACATTAATTTAATACCAAAAAATGAAATTCACAGGCCGCTTTTATTAAAATGTATTGAGCTTTAATGGATTTCAATGTATTTAGCATCTGGATAATATTTGAATAGCAAATGAATATATTGTGTATTCATATATATATATATATATATATATATATATATGTGTGTGTGTGTATGAATGTATGTGTGTGTGTTTTTGTGTGTACGTACATAAATATGTAAAAATACATATATATATATATATATATATATATATATATATATATGGTTTTTGCATCTGTTCAATTTAAAGGAACTGAATTATTTCATTCTCAATGCGGTTAGAAGGTGAATGCTAAAGTTTCTGAATACTAAAATATATATATATATATATATATATATATATATATATATATATATATATATATATATAATGACAAACAAACACTTACAAAGCCATAGGTGATTTTTTTTTTCATTGAAGTCGATAAGACATGGCTTCAAATCTTCAGACCTGGAAACCAAATGAATATGTTGAAGGTGTGTTTTATCGACTTCAATGAAAAAATATTACCTATAGTTTTTTAAATGTTTGTTTGTTAATATATAATACTTTTTGCTCTGTCTTTTGGCATAGAACTCTCAATTGATCTATATCCCTTGGAAATTCCATACGGATTACCACTATTTTATTATATATATATATATATATATATATATATATATATATATATATATATATAATCAACTTCTATATGCCGCATCCCTTCAAGACACAGTCGACCATGGCTCTCCACAACTTTCTATCTTGTATAGCTCTGAGCATTTTTCCTTTGCTAAGGCTCCGTCCCCTTATCCATTTACACTAGCCCACCGGGTGAGTGTGTATCTGCCTTTCCTTGCCCTCAATATATCTAGTGAGGGTTACCTTTTCCAAGCACTCCTGCCTCACTTCGCGCTCAAGGAATTTCAACTGTGTTTTCTGGATCTGAGAAGAAATTTTCTTTCCCTTGTCATCCATTTTAAGACTTCCTTGTTGTATACACGTTCCGTCTATGGACGTTTCAGTCTGCATTGGTAGAACCATATTTCTAATGTCTCCAGGTTTGTCCTCAACTGTGGGGAGACTTTTCAACATTCACTGCCATACAAGAGGATTGATATCACATTGCAATCGTGTTTTTTTTTTGGTTTTGTTTCTCGGCACCTTGATTAGCTTTTGGAAATTTACTTCCGCTAAGCTAATGTGTATTGACATGTTGGTGTCGTATTTTCCATCTTCTTTTTAGGAAATGTTGCGATGGAAAAACTTAAACATGTGTCCGTGGAGATTATTTTTTGAAGGGTTTCATATGACTTATCGGAAACAATGTACATATGAGACAAAAGAGCTGAAATACCTGGATTCCCAAGTTAGAGAGGAAAGTTCAATCAGGCGCCGGAATAAAAACGTGTCTTCATTGAAAATCAAAATCAAGAAATATCGAAAAAAGACGCATAAGAGACTCGAAATCTGTGAGACATACTGAGTAGATATAAATGGAGACGTGCCCGATGCTAATGTGGATGGAATGGCATGTCTGCTGTTCACTACGAATCGTACAGTAACAACGTATTGCTAATCTCACGAGATACCAACAACTTATCCAGATTTAACCTCACAAATGAGGATTCCGAGAATTTCGAAAAAGATAAAACAAATATCTGAAAATAGCTTTAGAAATCTGTTCAAGAATTTTAATCTCAGAACCACCTTGATTATTCATCCTTTGAAAACGACAACAAGCGGAAGAATGCTAATGCAATTGGTAATATTAGCCGTTTCCTTGTAAGGAAAGATTAGGCATTAATTGACCGAGCACCCAGTACTGCTTTCGGTTGAAATTTATAAAATCAATTTTCTTAAAACGATCTTTCAGGAAAAGTGGTTTCCGTGGTATAGCTCTTTCCAGTAGTGATAGGGGTTTCCTTCTTTACCTTTTGTTTGAAGCAGTTGGCAACCGTATTTTTTTTAGGGGAAATGTGTAATCTATACCCTCCTGGCTAGCCCAAGATTTTGCAACGAGTCTCGTTGATGTGTATATAATATGCACACACCAACACCGAGTGATTACAAAAATGGCTATACAACAAGGTGGGAAATGCCGAAGACTCGCCATTACTTTGGTGGGTGGGCACAAAATAGGAAAAAAAAGCAACAGTATTCCTAGAATATGCTAGATAGCAAAGGAAACATTCCTCAACAAAGGATTAAAATGTTAAAAACAAAATACTGGTCAACAATACCTGACTCTCAAAGTCCTTCACATCAGAGCATATAATGTATGTAATGCCCAAAATAACCAACGCCGAAGGAAATCAGGTACAATGGTACACCGGAGAAAAGTGCTCAATGCCATATTTAATGACACAGCATTAATATACTTGTCTAAATAATATATATATATATATATATATATATATATATATATATATATATATATATATACTCGTTTCGAAAAACCCTGGAATTTTTGATTTGCCAATAATCAAATCAATCTCGAGGGAAAAAAAAGGTTTTAAAAAAAGAAACATGAAAGTTTGTCGAAAAAATTCGCACAGATGCAGGTTTGAAGCCCAAAGAAAAAAACCCCTGATACGAGTAAACAACTAACTAACAAAAGAGCTCAATACAACCGTAGAGCAGACCTAGATACACCTAGTGAGCCAGACAAACCTACCTAGGTTTCATTTAAAGGGATCGTCAGGGAAAGCCACTTTCCCTGACGATCCGTTTAGGTGAATCCTAGGTAGGTTTGTTTGCCTACTAGGTTTATCTATCTATCTATATCTATATCTATATATATATATATATATATATATATATATATATATATATATATATATATATATATATATATATATATATATATATATATATATATATATATATATGTATATATATATATATATATATATGTACGTATATAAATGGATATATATCCGATAAATGGAGAAAATTTTGAAAAAACAACAAAAATTTTAAATGTCGTTAAAATGAAAGGAAATGTCGACGTCTGACGTTTCGGTTTAATAAACCTTTTTCAAGAAAATATTCATCAAAATACAATTCAGTTCAGGTTCTAAAATACGATGGACATGCTTGTCAAGCATCAATTCAGAAAATAAGGGGAAATATTAAAAGAAACCAGGTCTAGTATTCATGGTGCGTGAGATGGATATTATACGACGCTTATAAATATTCCTGAGATTTTTATTATTTTGAAAATATTTTAAAACTTTCACGGAATCGAAATCGAATTGATCTGCTTTAGTTGTGTGTACAATTAAAGCATTGTTAAAATTACTGAGACGAATATCTCGTTTATGTTCGAAAACACGAGATTTTAAGGACCTAAACCAGGTCACATATTTTAGGTTTCTTTAATATTTCCCTTTTTTAGCGAGATTGATGCTCGACAAACACATAAGAATTTTAGAACCTAATAGAATTTTTTTACATTTTTTCATTTCAAAATAATCACAAACTTTTAGGAATATGTTATGAAAGCGTCGCCCATGTGACGACAGCGTGACCATTTTAGACGGAAGGCTGGTCATTTTAAAATTTTCAGTTATCTGTTCTGAATAAGACTTGTGCTTTTATGTCCATCGTATTTTCATATTGAACTGAATTGTATTTTGATGAATATTGTCTTGAAAAAGGTTTATTAAACCGAAACGTCAGACGTCGACATTTCTTTCATTTTAACTACATTTAAGGATTTTGTTTGTTTTTTCAAAATTTTTCTTTATATACATATATATATATAAAGAGAGAGAGAGAGAGAGAGAAAGAAAGAGAGAGAAATTTATTTATTTAAATTTTTTATAATCCTTCTTTAGAGGCTGCTATTCTTTTCCTTTTTACTTAAGTGTTGTAAATAATGTTTGTGTATTCATAAGCATAAACCTCAGCAGAAGATTTAATGTTTTGTACATATGTTCTTTTGTTTTTTTTTACCCGATATATACTTTATTTGGTATCTACACATGTGTTCGTCTGTGAAGCGATCACCCTTTTGAGAACGAGACGTTCTACGATATGGCGGACCTCGCGTTCCTTTTTATGTTACTGTGTCGTCTGTTTCAATGAAAGCGCAAGGGGCACGTTATGCGTGCATGTTTATGTATGCACCAGAGTTTGCGTGCAAATTTGGTCAATAATTTCAAATGACCACTTATGCAATGTGGAAACACTTCAAGCAAAAACACATAAATACTAAAACATAATTCGTTTGATACTCTCTTTAAATGGTGAAACGCTGTAATTTAGTCTGTCTAAATGAATTATTTATTCATGTAAATACATTTCGGGGATATGATTTATCCTCTGTTTGCGTCAATTTAGCAGGTTCATTTTTTTTAAAAAAAAGAATTACCTCAGATAGATTGAATTACATCAACTTGCTTGCAGACAAAGCGCATTTTATTCAGTACTATTACAGCAAAATATTTGTAACTGGCAAGTACTCAATATTTGTTATTATTTAAGTGAAAAAAATAAACTGAGTATAGACCTCTCTCGCATCCACATAAAGACAAATAAGCTTAAATTATATTCTTATTATTTATTTAAAATAATAAAACGTCTGGATGACGTATTAACCAAAAATTTTAAAATATTTAAATTATAGATTTTTATAAATCTTAAATTTGAGGCACGGTTGATACCGGCTCTTGTTGAGGGATTGAGGTGCCGAATCTGAATACTAGTTGAGCTCGTTAAATTCACTTACATGCGAATACTCTTGAAAATAAGAATTCATCTCTTTTCCCTGCAGTTATGGGTTGCGTAGCAGGACAGACCGGGTTCTATAGCCTAGGGTGGCAACCAGTCTAGGAGATTGACAACTCTGAATGTAAAACTCGAGTGGTCAGCGTCTAAAGCAGTACTCCCACCAGACACTGGTCTGGCGAAGAGAGTAAAGGCAATCATTGATAAAATTCAAATACAATCTTTAAGGTGTTGTTCGCGATTCACTGGCAAATTGTTTTTAATTTTGAAAGTGTGTATTTTAAGCATTTATATTTCTAGTTTTTTGTTGTAGTTAAGAGCAGTGCTTTTTGAGAACTTTTTGGCTCCCAGTTAACTACAAGACCAAAATATTGCGATGCAAAAATCGAATATTTTAAACGCTTTTTAAAAGACTACTATTTGCTATTTTTAAGTAATGGCTTTCAAACTGAGAGAAACCGTAAAAATTAACAACCGTACTACAGAATAAGAATTTCTTTATTCAGTAGTCATGCCAGATTTGTCTAATGAAAAGAATCCTTCCAGATATCGTAACCATAATAAATATTTTTGCCGATACTTTCAACACGAGGACGTGACTCTTTATCAGCGATTCTGCTCTTTTTGCTATTCCTTTTTTTAAAAATATTTTTGCCATTCTTTCATTCAACGTCTTTTTTTTCTTTTTTTTTCTTTATTTCTTATGCACGTTTTCTATTAATTTTCTTTTTCTTTCACATATTGTCTTACGTGTTTGCTTGCTTTCTTTCTTTTTCATACCCACGTTTTTATGTTTTCCGTTCACTTTCTTTCATTTACTGAGCCTTTATTTGTTTTTTCTTCACATATTTTTTCTTTGTCTATTTCTTCATTTCTTTCTTTATTGATTTCTTTTATGTAAAACGTTTTATACTTTTCTTTTCTAAATACTTTTGTGTTTTTTTTTTTTTGATTATCAATCTTACACTTTTTACTTACTTTTATTCACACACAAGCATTTTTATTACTTTTTTATTTTTTTATTTTTTTCACCGTCCATTTCATTTCTTTCTTTTACTGAAAACACTTTTCTATTTGTTTGTTTGTTTCTTTTTTTTTCTTTCACATAACACATTTGTATTTCTTTTTCGCTTACTTTCTTTTTTCGCATATCCATCGTTAATTTTGTTTCCATATTTTTTATTTCTTTATCACTTCTTTTTTCATTTAATTATTTCTCTTTCTTTTACCTAAAACTCTTTTGCCTTCCTTCCTTCCTTTATCTCTATCTTTCTTTTACGTACATTTTTCTATTTCGATTTTTCTTTCTTTCTTTTTTACACAAGCATTTCCCCTCTTTTTTCCTTACCACACACATATATTAACACACTCTCCATGCATAGAGCTTGAGCCGAAACTGTATATCTCGAACATTATTATAATTGTGAACAAAACGAAATAAATACCCTTTTATACATTATAACTGAAAAAAGAATATCAATGCAGACAAAACATTAAGTTTAAAATCTATCTCTCTCTCTATCAGTTGGGTTGATATCTTACTTCTGATTATGTTCAACTCTGTACTTGTAAAATTGGTGATACTCACTTGGTAACAATACATAACTCTTTATAAACACATAAACACACTTACGTGCATATATCTAAATGTACCGAGGAATTTGTCAGTCTACATTCATTTGTACTCCCTTCTGATAACTAATAAAATAACTTAGCGTCCAAGATACCATCAAAATGAATAGATAATGCCAGTTTGGGACATCAATCTACAACAATCAATAAATAGCTGACCGTATAAGAAGAAAACTAAAATTAGTCTAATCGGTCGTCAGCAGAAGGCAATTAAAGAATAGTGTCGCGTATATTTCCAATGAATAATTTTTCAAATAAATAAGAAAGGTTATTTGCATAATTTAAACCTTCCGCTTAAAATGAAATCTGAAATTGAAATCTATTTCGTGTGAGTTCGTTTTAATTGTCTCTTGAGTCTTGGAAAAGATATTACTTTGCTTGACTTCTATGCTCATGAAATTTAACAAGTCTTCACAGTTGTGGAATTTCCACAAGAAATGTTCGTTCCATTTGTAGTTCTCTTATTAATAATTAACTTCTCGGTATAAACCTAGCGTTGATATTGATTAATAGACTTTTGTTGTAACCTCACTTTAGAGCAGTAGTTAACAAGTATTATCTTGCATGTCATTACCAGTGAAATGAGTTAGAACTTTGCAGTTAAGTTTATGTTGCAATACGGTAAGGTATGACCATCCACGTCTTGAAAGGACATGGGAAGGAGATAGAAAGACACAAGATATCGTTAAGTCTTATGAAATAGTGGCTAGCGATCTAGTATAGCAGAAAGTTAACTCCATAATTAAATTTTCACTGGATGCATTTGATTTTCCCAAAATCAGTCTAAAAACTCTTATCATTTTAAAACCAGTCATTTCATACTCATTATTAGCAAAAATAATTCTAATGTTTTTAGCGTTTCTGATCTTTTCATATTTTAGCCTTTAGAGAATTGCATAGCGCTCAAATCTCGACTATGAAAGAGTTTTCATAATGGCCCGGGACAATATAGAAATTAATAACAGCGAGCCGAGTTCGAACATTGTCCTGGAGAGTTTGCATTCATTTCGAACTAATCATAATGGTGATATTAATCGTTTCCATGAAGTAAAATTTCGGCATTCATTGAATAAACATTTGGCATTAATGTCGGTTGAAATTTATAAAATGCTAGCCGAATTGCCCGCGCCTTGTTGCGTGTCAAACATAATTTTTTGTAAGAAAATAATGATTGATTTTAAATCAATATTATAATTTCTGGAGAAAAATGATTCATTTCAATATTACTCAATGATCTTATCAATGTGATCTCCATCTTCTGGGTTTCTCCTTCTACATTTTGGATAGGAGTCATTCACATGTTCAAATTTAAATTGAATTTAAATCAGAGGTAAAAAAAAAGAAGAGTTTTCAGTGGGGGGGGATTATGCCCCGCGGGGACCCCATTGATCAAAATAATATTGCCAACATGACCTCCATCTTCTGGCTTTCTCCTTCTATATTTTGGATAGGAGTCATTTCCTTGTTTAAATTTAAATTTAATTTAAATCAAAAGGAAACAATTTTTGGTGGGGATTTGTGCTCCCCACCCCCACCCCGCGCGAAGACCCTCTTTGATCAAAATGAAATATACTTGTCCAAGTATCCTAGGAGTCATTCTATTGTTCAAATTTTAATTTAATTTATATTAAAGGGAAAAATTTCAATAGGGTGTGTGAACTGACTCCCCCACCCCGGGGACTCCTTTGATCAAAATGAAATATACTTGTCCAAGTACCCTGGATAATGTAGTTTCAGAATATATATGGTTATGGGTTATTTCCAAAACCCTAGGAGAAGTTCGATAACAGATAGAGAGAGGATACAACTTTATATATATATATATATATATATATATATATATATCTTAAAACAGGTTTTCATGAAAATAGGTTTCTTATGAAAACTATTAACACTTTTTCTAGTAATGACTGTGGTTTCCTCCCTAAATATTTGTTTAAAATCGCGTGGAATGTCAACATCTTGATCCTTTCATTATTTTTTTTTTCTAGTTACATGTGTTATCTATTTTAGTTGTTACTACTTTTGGAGGTCTTTCTGTGATGTCATCTTTGATATTTGATAAAAGTTTTTATTTGTGATTCTATTTTGTTAATCTCCGGAAAACGATGTCTCAGTCCTCTCTAAAACGCACAAGTTTCATTCCACTAATGTCATTGTAATTACTGATCTGGGAGAACGGTTTTATATCGTTGATAGTTTTGAAGGACGTGGACGGTGGGATGACATCTATATGAAAGTTTTGATTTGACTTAGCTATTTAAGAACAAGATTTGAGTTTTTAGGTTAATACTTTAGTTTTGTATCTGGCGGTGTTGGTCAACAATTTATTCTGTGTTCAATTTCCTTATTTAAATATGTCATAACCGATCCATAAACTGAGGTATTTGTAATGTTTAGTATTTACTAATTTCACCTCCTGTATTATGATGATGGATTCATCACTGCATTCCTTCCAACTCCAGATCATAGATTCTGTTTTAGAAAAAGGTTTATCCTAAGCTCTACTTTCTGGAATGCTTAGTAAAGAATGTTGATGTTTTCTTCAAGATCATTCCTCTCCTAAGTATGAATATCTAAATCATCAGCATAGCCTTCCCCATCATCTGTTCACTGGCCTCTGGAGGGAAAATATGAACGTTGTTTACTATTTGTAGATGCGTTTGGGATGTGGTATGGAATGTTTGAATTATCAAAGCCCGTTTCTTCAAATCTGTGCTTGTCTATGCGCAGAGCAATCTAGGAATATGCCCTTGGGAAAGGCAAGAATTCATTGCCTTTATTTTGCTTGTTTTTCTTTTATACCATATCTCTTTCGAATGTAGGCGATCATGGCTCTCCATGAAATCCGTTTTTCCTTTATTATATACCAGTTTAAAGAAGTGGTTTTCCATTGCTTTCTGTTCAGAGGTGTGTCCTTCTTCTAAACAAACTGTAACCGTAAGAAAACTTAGTTTGTTTGCTATTGACCACGTCGATGTCGGTGAGAAAGGGATTGATTAATGTCTTTCCAAGGGCATCCATGCAAAAGTGAAGGCAGCAAACTAGACTGTAATCTGAAATCAACTTGCCAATTCCACATTCTCCATGTATAAGTGTTACGCTACTAGAAATATTTCTCTTTCTAAACTATGCATAAATAGTAGGAAATATGCAAATATGTAACTCTTTAAGCCAGTTCATCTTAGATAAAAATGCCTATGAGCCTTGTAAATTGAAACCATATTAACATCATTTTGTTTTGGTTTTGTGACCAGCAAAGAATTAGCAAAAAGAAACAAAACAAAAAAACATCAAATCGTTTTTATAATTGCTATTCGTTTGTCAATTCTTTTTAATTCAGGAGGGCCTGCCTGGCTAACTCAGCCGCGTCCACTACCCACGCTCCTATATGACTCCTGCTCACGACTCTTCACGAATAGACTGGGCCTTCACAACCATCTCCATCAGAGGGGAGTTAGGGAAAAAGAAGAGGGGATGACAATCCAGACGCTAGCATGAAAGCGATTGCCAACGATTGAGCCTTAAATTCTAGAGATTATTTTAACATTAACAGGTACGATCATCGAAGCTAAGCAACACCGAGGCTTGTCAGTACCTATATAGGTGACCGCGAAAGAACACCAGGTTTTTTAAACTTAAATGTGCGGGTGGTGTAATGGATAATGGTTTGGAATTCTTAATCGGAGTGCCGAGTTCCAATTACCTTTCGGTTAGTTATATTCACTTACTCACTTACTAATTCCCGTGAGAAAGGTTTGAATCCCTATCACCCCAGCTATGGGTTAATTAGTAAGACTTGCATCACTAAACCTTTATTATCTCCCAAAAAGGAAACACAGATGCGACAACTATTAAAGCTCGAAATTACGAGTAATAAACGTTTTTTGTTTTTTTTAAATCAGTTCACCCAAGTAAAGCAGGAGTGCCACCAGTAGGCAGTGGTTTATAGGGAGTGAAAGGGAGAGAAAAGGTATAGTATAGAGAGGATTGAGGAAAGGACAAAACATGAACGGGATTTAAAAAGATAGAAAATGGCGGTTGACGTTTCATTTAGATTTTTGAAGATTGTAGTTATAAGTGAAGCAAGTAAACGGAAGGGATTTTTTTACAGGCGGGAAGTGCGAGAAAAGAAACTGTTGGTGTAGAAGTGGGGGTTGCATTTAGCTCTATCAACAGTAAACGGGTGGGACCTAGCTGTCAACCTCGTGGCACAATTAAATTCATGCAGTTGGGGTACCAGGGAAAAAAAGTT